AAGAACGGGAAAAGACGCAGTAGGTTTAATAAACCAAACAACAACTTCACACGTGCCCCACACTATTTTGTACATTTCTTTACCGTCGCTGAACGACTACAACGTAAAAAATGCCTAATTTCAGCTCGGTCTAGGACGTGAACACAAGATTTCAACTTTCTTTTTCTTTACATGAACTTTGGAAAAGCCGGTCTTTTAGAATTCAACTCCAGAAACATTTGCCAACATTTAACAAATTGAACGAGATGGAATAACAGCGAATACGTTGGAAGCAGCGCGAATTCACTTTTTAGTAGCGTTTTTGTAGCCGTCGTCGTAGTTGTTACTTAAGCTCGCTAGTATCACTGGGATTTCAGATTCAGGTTAGGTATAAATGCTACCATCCCTTGATTAAGCCCCATCTCATCCACACTAATCAGGGTATTTTTGAAACTTCATATTTTTACAGGAATAGTACGCGAATGAAATATTTCGCGCGGACTCCCTGTTTACGTGTGGGCGGAAAGTCGATAATTTTCCCGTATAAAAATGTGGTTTCGAAAATATACGGAATAATTTGGACGAGGCCTTAAACACATTTTTCACCAAAAGAAAAAATAACAATAATAAAATTAAAATATTTAAAAGCTATAAAAAAAAAACAAAAAAAACACCACAAATAGGCAATTTTCGCCAAATGGCCTGAAAAACCTGGGTAAGTGAATGGTCACAGTTTAGCATTTTCGTCCACAGACTCGACATGCTAGTTGTATACTAACCAAATCCTCGGCCACGCTTGTAAATAGCCAACTGGTTTGCCTCAGGCCAGTTGGGATTTTTAACCACATTATGTTTGATTTAAATTGTTCGTTTTAGGAATTTGCTCGCCCCCACTAGCATTAGTGCTATAAACACTGCCGAGGGTAAATAACGGAAATTAATTTTTATTATTATCATTGATTATCTGAATTTTCACTACTCAAAAATAGAAACAACTTAAATGATATAAGCGGTTCGTTTATAGTTTGTCTCATGATTCACCTAGATATTGATCGCGACGTTTCGACCGCATACTGCAGGTCTTCATCAGGCGATATAAGAGTCGATTCACTGAGTAGGACTATCTGTACCACCGTGGTTGTTATGTGATTGATAAATTNCCCCATCTCATCCACACTAATCAGGGTATTTTTGAAACTTCATATTTTTACAGGAATAGTACGCGAATGAAATATTTCGCGCGGACTCCCTGTTTACGTGTGGGCGGAAAGTCGATAATTTTCCCGTATAAAAATGTGGTTTCGAAAATATACGGAATAATTTGGACGAGGCCTTAAACACATTTTTCACCAAAAGAAAAAATAACAATAATAAAATTAAAATATTTAAAAGCTATAAAAAAAAAACAAAAAAAACACCACAAATAGGCAATTTTCGCCAAATGGCCTGAAAAACCTGGGTAAGTGAATGGTCACAGTTTAGCATTTTCGTCCACAGACTCGACATGCTAGTTGTATACTAACCAAATCCTCGGCCACGCTTGTAAATAGCCAACTGGTTTGCCTCAGGCCAGTTGGGATTTTTAACCACATTATGTTTGATTTAAATTGTTCGTTTTAGGAATTTGCTCGCCCCCACTAGCATTAGTGCTATAAACACTGCCGAGGGTAAATAACGGAAATTAATTTTTATTATTATCATTGATTATCTGAATTTTCACTACTCAAAAATAGAAACAACTTAAATGATATAAGCGGTTCGTTTATAGTTTGTCTCATGATTCACCTAGATATTGATCGCGACGTTTCGACCGCATACTGCAGGTCTTCATCAGGCGATATAAGAGTCGATTCACTGAGTAGGACTATCTGTACCACCGTGGTTGTTATGTGATTGATAAATTCTGCAGAACAGTATAATCTGACCATCTTGGTATTGTCTCTTAGACAGCACAGCTTCATCTGCTTGAACTTCCTTGATGACCATGGACAATGCAATAAGATATAAAAAACCAGGAGGACACTGCTGGAACTCATCTGTCTGGTAAACAAACCCCAACCATTTAAATTTAAACTGATTTACCTGCTCGTTTTCGTTTCTTTTCAATTAATTTTTTTTAAAATTCTAATTTATTTAATTTGGCAACCACTTCTCCGGAGTGAACGTAGGTAATATTGAGTGAGTATTACGTACTTGACAAGATTATTTGTAATGTTTATATTAGTTTATATTTGACAAGATCATCAGTAGTTTTCATAAACTTTTTCCTTACACCAACAGTTGTGAATGCTATCATAAGGATCTCTTGGCCGCTTGTGGAGGCGTGTGTGGCCGAGTGGTTAACACCTCGAACCCCGGATCTGGAGGTCTGGGGCCAAGCCTCGCCCGTCGCGCTGTTTCCTTAGACAAGGAACTTTACTCCACTTTGTCCCTCTTCACCCAGGAGTTTAGCGACATACTGCTGGGGAATAACCCTACGATCGACTAGCATTCCATCCGGGGGCGGGGGGAAGGGAGTCGCAATACTCCTTTTTTGCTACCTCATGGTCACTAACATTCAATCCTGGATGAGACGAATATTGAAAATTAGAAAAATATATTAATTCCTCAGATCTAATATTTCGCAATTGTGCAAGAATTAACTTGATGTTCATGAAAAAAGTGCAAAAACATAGTGTTTCTTTTAATCCAAAAAGGCAGGGCACAAGTAAGTTTTTTTTTGTCTGAGACTGCAATCACCACTCATTTTATTTACCTGCTTCAAAGTCATCCTCAAAATCTAAGAAAACCAAAACAGAAACAAGGACTGTTAAGTGTTAATTAAATCAATAAGTTTTTTTTTGAAAAGTTGGTATCATAGCAAGACAATATACATCAAGCTAAATGTAATCCCCCAAAAACATTTCAAAAAATTAAAGTTGTGACACTGTACGAATAATATATAGATTTAACCAGGGCTAAAAGCGAAGCTCTTGTTAATAAAACTTGTAAACAAAAAAAAATTAAATCGTCTAATGCTAAACGGGGAGGCCAATGGAAATAGCATCAATAGATCTAATTAGCAAAAAAAACAAATTGCACGTGCAGCACACTTTTTTTTCTTATTAGCAAAACAACAAAATTTGCACGTGCAGCACGCTTTTCGTCCTTCTTTTTTGCACAACCACAACGCTGTTTTGTAGGACTAAACGTCAAACTGCCTAGTTGCACATTATTTTTATGGAGGAATTCTTACCCAATATTTTGTCTCCTGTGTTGATGTTCGCTTTTATTTTTTAGTGCCGCTCAGTTTCACCTTGCTGGCCACTAGCATTTCTCATTGTCTCACAGCCGCTTTGAATTTTCATGTTTTTCTTCCTACAAAATTCTTCTCTTTTCTCTGTTATCCACGTGAGTGTAAACATCAAAAATAACGTTGAAAAAGACACGACTTTGTTGTTGTTTTTTCTTTTTAAAAGTCCGGGCGGCCATGCGATTTCTTTCCAAATAAAACCTTGAGTTGCATTTGGGTTGCTATACCTGTTAATTGAATTATTTTACATTGGTATGTCTGTGGTGCGGACGGACGGTCGGGCGGGCGGTCGGTGGGTGTACGGTCACGTGATTACCAAATTTTCTCGGATGGGTAGTTTCCCACATTTTTTTACCCATGGTGCTCCGCTGCGCGCTTCGCGCGCGAGAGCTCCGTTACTAATTTACCTCTAGCTCTATAGATATCCAAAACAAAAAGGTAACGAGGAAATGAAAGAAATGATCACAAATGAAAAAAAAAACAAGAAAAAAAAAACGTCCCTAGCAGACAATTGTCAGTGTGTTTTAGGTATGGACAACATGCAAAGAACAATGTAATTATTATTTCTACACAGGCATCTACATGTATATGAGCATCAATGTAAATGGAAAGACAAAAAAGAAAGCTTCAAACCTCGAGATCCAAAGCACCTCCATACTTTGTGTACAACTCAGCATCTCTCTGGTTTACTTGTTGTTTCCACTTTACATTCAGTTCTTGCAGTTGAGATGCTTCTGCTGTGAACTGCAAGCAGGGAACAAAATTAAAATAGCAGACAAAGTTAATGAAATTAGATACCTTAATATTAAAGCGCTTTAGATATCATGGGATGTTATATAGCTTTTTAACCAATGTTCATTAAATTCATTTGAAATTTGCAAAATGCTATGAAAAGTCTTCAAGATATCTTGAAACTTGAACAAACATGTTGGCCCACTCAAAACGGCTTTATTAGATGTTGCAACAGCAACAAGTGAAGAATAACAACCCTGGTCAAAACAGTACTGGTAAATCACAAAGGACCTCACAATAGACAGATAATTTACAGCGTAGTAGCTTAACACATTCACACCTTAACAGCCTTATAAACTAACCACCCATAAACATTAACACTATTTATGTACAATATGGGATAAAGTGGCATGTTATAAAGTCAATATGATACATTCGCACATACAGTTTGGATTGCTGTGTCCACATTTTCTTTGTCAAGTGGAATACTAATAATAAAATTGTCTTATAATAATAAAAAAATCATCATTTCAACAAACCTGACTAAAAGCATCATGGAAGTTTTCTTCCCGAAGCGTAATGACCTGGCAAGGCCCAGATGACCTAAAGAACAAAAAATACTTCTTTTCACTTTTAGCTTTTTAACTTGACAAGAATATACTCTGATAAATGACCAGCTTTAGTTGCAACAACTTGTACATTCTCAAGGAGGTCACTTTCAAAAACTTTGACTGACTGTGTACAACTGTGTATAATTCAGTTTGCTGAGGGCTGCAAATCAATAAAGTTTGTTGTATAAATGAAAGAAACCCCCCACCACCACCACAGGCAAAAACATTTCCCCCAATATAAAATCATCACAACAACTACTGGTTTGTGGAAACTAATTTTTGAGACCAATGAGGACTGGTTTTTCTTGCTGGAAATATATTTTTGTGATTATATTTTCAGCAAGTTCATTCATACATTTATAATAATTATATCCTGTCCGTGTGATTTCTGTGGCTGTTGTTTAAAGATGCATATTTGTTTGTCTTTTTTCTGCTTTAAATATATAGAAGGACTATACATTTTAATTTCAGTAAACCTTAATACATGTTTTGAGTTTTGGCATCTGTCTCCAGATTAATTGTCTGCTTGCATAAAAGCCCAAGCATTTTCAATTTTAATAGGACTCCTTGTTTTTTTGAAATGGGACTCGCTGGTTATGACAGCAGGGACTCATGATTTTTCACAAGATGAGTCCCAGGACTCACCATAACTATTTGTAACAAAATCACTGTACATGTAGTTTGTATCCCACAATAATGATTATAATTATTAAATACATGTATTACTAATCTGGGCTGTGCTCTAGCAGAGCCCGGTGGCCCAAGGCATGTAACTTTTGCTTTCAGGTGACTAGCAAATCTTACTTTTTTCACACAAATCAAACGCTCAGGCACCCTAGATTTTAAAGTTTCAGAGCACTAGGCTCCCTTCAATTTTCCTTAGAGCACAGCTTTGCTAATACAATTTTTTAAGGGTACAAAATAATTATATGTTGTTATTATTTCTTTTCTAGAGCTGTTTTCCAGATTGTGACAATACAGTCTAACTTCTCCTTACCGACACCTCTCCATTACGGACAGTTCGTTTGGTCCCAGAAATGCCAAAAATCATACACTCTCTACCTCTATAATCGGACCGGATACCTGTGTAAAGAGGACACTTGTTTCTGTCCCTTTGGTGTACATATTAAAGAGGTTTGACTGTAGTAATTTTCAGATTATGAGGGCCTATTCTTCAGAGGGGAACCATGGGTCTAGATTATGTTTTACCTGAATTATTACCTCACAGTGGATCTTCTCTCAGTCCCAGTGAAAAAACCTGAATGATAAATTGCAGCATTTATTCGTACAATGTCACACAACATTTGAATGGTGTTGTATACTCACAATGAAGCCTGGACAAAATATTTATGGTAACAATAATATCAAATTCCTTCCATATAGTAAAACTTTCATGCAAAAGAAAACTTACATCACTTCTGACAAACATATAACCAGCCCTAACCAAAACAGTCTGAAATCAACCTTAATTAATGGTAGCAAATGTCGTTTTCTAAGATGGTCACTTTTGAGAGGTAGTAAAAAATTGTATAATAGTAATTACATGTACATGTATTATTAAAACTGGACCATTATTTTTGGAATTCAATTGATGAGAAAGTGCTAGCACTGATCTATAACATGACATACATGTAACCCCCTTAAGAAAAAAACAAGTGGCTGCAGTTGCTGAAAAGAAGAAGCTGGGTTTTGTTTTTAAAACTTGACTGACTTCTGTTGCAAGGGATGGTGAGGATTCCACATGGATTGAAACTCGAAAATTTGGGCCAGCTTATTCAATGTTCAAGATGATATTCCTTCTGAGTAAAATCACCAAAAAAATGTCATGGTTAGTGCAGAGTGCTCTGTGATGGAACTATTTTGTTTAATATCTTCTTCACAACTCTACAGGTGCATTTTGTGTATGGGTAAAGGCACTTAATAAAATAATCACAGTACTTTTAACACAGAATTGACCTACAGCATTGTACATTGTAAAGCAGCTGTTATTTAATTAAATTGGTTGCCCATAACAATGTGTCCCCTAAATTCCCTTAAGGGTTAAGGTTTAAAAGCCAGTGCAAGATTTAAAATTCAGTTTTTCCTAGCAGTTGAGAAGAAGTGAAGATACAGTTGAACCCCGCTATTTCAAAGTCCCAAGGGAAATGGAAAAAAGTTTGAAATAGCGGGGCTTCGAAATAACTGGGGAAGCGTAAAATCACGTAACAATGAATAATTTTTTTAATAAAATACAGTACAGTAAGAAGAGAGACACTGATAATAAATAAGATAATTATATGTCGGATAAATCAGCAGATGCTGTTGCATTGAAAAATCTTTGAATGTTCTGTTTGAGCTCAAATAAAATGCAATACGTTTCCAGCTGTGCTCTTATGTATGTGCTCTGTTTCTGACAAGTTCAAAATAATGGGGTTGGTTTTAAATTAAAAAAGGTGTAGGGAAAGGACAATGAGTTCGAAATAGCGGGGAATTCGAAATAACCAAGTTCGAAATAGCTGATAGTAAATGACTGATTCGATCTTCCTTCAAAATAGCGGGGACTTCGAATTAACCGAGTTTGAAATAGCGGGGTTTGACTGTATGTGAATACAACTGAAAACAGAGAGACAATTCACACTAGTGTAAGTAGATGCTTTTCGAGGCATTAATTTTTCATCTTTTGAGCAATTTCTTATGTCAGCTTGGTTTTCTTTTCAGTGAATCAGTTATCTTTCTATTTAATGCTAGTAACCCATGTTGAACAGAAAAAGAAAGTGAGCCCTATTTCAACATGTGAATAAAGTTGAATTGTTAGAATACTAAGATCTGAGAAATGAATTTACAAGAGATGCGAACTCACAACAACAGCAGCAATATCTTCATGACCATAGTTAGTAGAGGAGAGTGCTTATGAAAAATGGCAAACATCAAAGATAAAAACAACGGCACTGCAGATTACAGCTGTATGTTAGGAGCCCCCTGACTCTGCACATACAATTCTTAAGTTTTTATTTTGCTTGTCACAGAATAAATTAATACGACACTTTTATTGGTCAGAAAGATCCAAATTAATGATAGGAAAGCTACTGAACATTGTGCATTGTTCAAGTCCACAAAATGTCAGGGTGGCCACCCAATGACGGTTTCCTCCTAATCCATTGAAAACACTTCTCAGGCTACCCAGAGTACTTTTAGATCTGTATAAAAGCATTCTAAATGGCGCTATAAAATTCATATCTGTTCAGTCATCCTAGGCTAGGAGAACTTGAGTCTTTTCGAAATTTGAAGGGATTAAGACGTATTATTTTTTTCCAAAAATTGTAGATGCAATTTAAAGGCCCATGTTCACCCTAGATGCATTGCGCGCCCTGTAATCCAGAAAAAACATTCGCGTAGTTGAAAATCGCTGACTTTAGTGTGTAAAGTCAATCTTTGTTAATCTTCTACAGTTCGCTAAATCTGGTTTAAAAGAAAGTCTCAACAAGTTCTTTTGGTATTTTTCTTTACATC